CCCCCCACAAGCTTCCTGCTCCATGGGTGACCTAACTAGGGACTGAGACCAGTCCCTGGGGAACTCCAGGATGGTGATGAGACCTTCTTTCCCTTATCCCATCTGGAGCCTCTGTCCCAAACACTCACTGCATTAATAGACGTCTCTTGACCTAAATGGCACATAGCTCTGCTCTGGAATCTTAGGGTAGAAAGGAGAAATTTTTGTTGGCTAGGGCTGGGCAAACTGGGGAGGAGTGTGGACTCATGGTAGAAGGCTTATGCTCTGCCTCCAGGTCCTGTGCCTCTCCACTCCTTGCATGGATACACTATGTAGGTAGCATTATTGTTGGTCTGCAACAGAGAATGAAGAGGTTGAAAACAAATGCAGGCCAGGTTGCACTCGGAGAGGTGTGAGGTTAGGATGGTGGATACAGTGATACCAGAGAAAAACAATTTGGACATTGTTTCAAATAGAACACAATTAGGATTGGAGTCCCAGTGCAATATTGGAATATTGCAACTCCTTACTAAACTGCTATTGGAAGAGTTGTGGCTTGTAGTCCTCGAAGCATTTCAGAGGGTTTGTATACTGCTGAAATGGATTTAGCAAATTAAGAAGGGGTGTAATGGCCGGTGGCTCAGGCCTGTTCCTGATAATGCTGCTGCTTTTACACTTGCTGCGTAGCACTTGATCATGATCACCCCATCTTCTGAATAAAATCATACTTGCTGCAATGATGTAGAGCTCTGAAGACAGGTTTGGATGAGCCTGGACTAAGGGAAACCTGGCCCGTGCTAGTGGCACAGTAGTTCTGAAAGACTTTGGATCCTGACAAATTCAGCCTGGAGCACAAGCACCCAGCATAAAAGATGTAGCTGAACTCTAACCTATGAAAAATAAGGGTTGGAAGTGGTTCTGAAGCTTTCTTTAGATCAACTCCTAGCTCAACTCTATTCTGTCTCTTCAATGCTGTATTATTTACATTTACTTACTTTTATATTTCAGTCAAAAACTAAACCCAAGAGAGTAAAAGCAATTTACAACTGCGTAGCAGATAACCCAGATGAGCTAACGTTTTCAGAGGGAGATATTATTGTAGTCGATGGTGAAGAAGATCAGGAGTGGTGGGTGAGTATTTTGCATTTTCCATCAACGTATTTGGAAAGAAATGAATGAAATCTAGAGAATGACACTGACTTCAGAAAATCCCCCACCCGGGGTTCCAGATAACAAGAAAGTTTCATCTCACAGAAACCTGATTCCAGAAATTTGTTTTGTTCAGAAATCAAATTTCAGATAAGTTTTTGACTTTTCTCATTCATAAAAAAATAAATCTCGTTAGTAGGGTTCACAGTATACAGGGGACCTCGTCTGTTTGATTCAGGAAATGATTGGGGGGTGTTAGCAGTTTAAGAACCTGCTACTTGAAGATGCTCTCTGTGGGGCCTCAGAAGACAGCTTTGTATTGTCCTAATTCTTCAGCTGACTGAGACTGAGAAATGGTCTTTCTGAGCTTGGAAACTACCTCAACTATTTACACTCCAGACCTTCATCAGCTAAAGCAAACTCTGGGAAAATTGTTATGCATGAGAACACTTGCCTTACTCTTATTGCTAGCTAGCAAAGAATTTAACTTCAGATTGCATCTAAATTGACAGTAATGCTGTATAAACAAAAATAGAAGCATATAAACCCCAAAACTATTGAAGCTTGATTCATCCTTTTACCTTTCAGTGATTGTTAAGAGGGGGAAGCAGAAGCAACTTAACAGAGGCAGAATATGGGCTGCCAGGCATCACAAAAAACACTGAATTGATATGGCAGTGGTACTGCATTATGACATGTTACTTTCAAAGAATTGGATAAACCAGAATTTTTTAAAAAAATGTTTAACAAAGCTGAATGACAAATGCACCTTGCTACACTGAATTTTCTGATGTTTCCCATTTGCAAAAGCAAAAGAATACCACTGCAGAAAAGATGTAAGGAGAGGCTGATCATACTACAGGCAGGAAGGTCACTGGTATTAATTTTGGTGATACTGAAATGCCTTTTTTGAGATTAACTTGAAAAATATCTGGACTCTTTCAGATTGGTCATATTGATGGAGATCCCAGTCGGAAAGGAGCTTTCCCTGTATCATTTGTGCACTTTATTGTTGACTAAATTGCTACTGATAAGTGGAGACATTTCTCATTTCCAGCGGTCACAGAAATAAGTTTTGCTCTATTTCATTTCATCTACCTATCTGTAGACACCTTGCCAGAGCACTGCCCAAGTCCTAGGTACTGTAGCTTACTTTTTTATTGCCATCATTCTGATTTTGGGACTTTTAAAACTTTTTTCTATGTGAAAACTTCTCATGAGCAGTTTACACTAAAAAAAAACCTCTTCCTGTATTTTTCAAGGTGAACTGAAAAGCTTTAACAATCAAAATCCATCTATGAATATCACAACATCATGAATGTTCTTTTCAATCGATTCACTGTAATTTTATTCTCCCTTTCGTAACATGACAATCTCACAGTTCAGTGTTGCTTCCCCAGTCAAAAGAAATTGTGTGTATCTAACAGGGCAGTGAATTTATCCAATTCTCAATACCATTTGCAGCCTTGGAACCAAAACATGCAAGCTGCTGTGTAGTTCTAAATTGGACTCATCCAGTATCTTGCCATACTGGTTGTCATCCAGGATGTCAACAATTACAGAAGAAAATATTTTAATCCAGGTGTCTTTGGCCAGGTAAAAGTGAAAAGGTATTTCAGTTTACCACAGGAGAAACGTCTTTCTTTCAGAATGGATGTAGATATTTGCTTAAAGTTATCTGAAATCTGTGTTATTCGTTGAACTTTCTAGTTCTAATTTTGTGAGCTTGAGACTGTTTCATTTTTCTATGCTGCACGTGTGTAGAACCTGTTTTTTGAATGTTCTTTATGTATGTTACATCCATTTTGGTCATTTAATGTGACTACTGCTGGTTAACTAAACTATGGCAATATTAATGAGTTACTACATTAACTCAAGGATATGAATACTGCACGTCCTGAGATGTACTTAACTATGATGATGGATTGCAGAGCATTTCTTACACTTGTCTCATTATAGTGTTTAGACTTTGTTTTTAAATTCTTGAATTTTCTTAAATCACCCAGCAATGTGTTCACAGAGAGAACATATTTGGTGGAATGCTTAGGTAATTATCCTTGGTCAATAAGGTATCCGACACCTCACCAGTACACTACGTTATGTTCTGGTTTATACAATTTTGTGTGCCACTACCCTGCAAACAATGATGGTTTGCAAACTCACTCTGTATTTATATAATATACCCGCATATATGGTAGCTACACTGTTGTTAAATTTGTTTTACTAATTTGTGAACAAAGGCTAGGCCATGGATAGTTCCCAGTTGGTTGATGAAATACAAAACACCAACACAAATCTGACGTCATTTTGATGTTTGTATATTGTGAAATTGTACCAGGTTTTGCTTATGCTACAGGAGACAACTGATGGCATAGGATAAGAAAAATCAATGTCTAGGTCACATTGGCTTTGATCACGTTTCGTGAATATTGTATCTCTAGATTTATCAAGAGAACTTTGAATTTCTGACAAATGGTGTTTAAAATGGCCATTTCACATTGAACGGAATGGAAAATAGGCCACCACCATCTATATGCTTATTGGGAGAAAAATCTCGTTGCGTTAGTGCTGGAAGAGCAACACTGATCTTACCTTGTATTGCCTTTCCTACATGGTACAGTTGGTTGGCAGCCTCTCAAACGTGTGGGTACAGCCAAGTATACGCAGAACTTTCATTTCCTAGATGCTGTTGCTGCAGTATAAATGGGGAACAAACTGGAATGTTTCAAGTTATTTTTGTTGCAAGTTGAAGCAAATTAGTCTGTATTTTCAAAGTTCCCAGTAAAATGATAGAGTAATAGTTTAGCACTACAGTTTATTCACTTACTGATATGTTCAGTTTGCAACACTATTTTGTATGTTTCTATCCCTGATAGAGTCTAGAGAGTAAATGGGCATATTATTTTGCACAGATCTCCTAATGTACAGTATTTTTAACACAGAATCTTATAGTATATGTAACAACTCTTAAATGATGCAAATTTTCCTCGAGTTCTACTAGAAGAGGAATACACTTTAAAATGTCACAACCTTGTTCACTGGTCACTTAAAAACTAGGAAACTTGTAGAATATAACTTAATAGCACTAACAGTGCAGACAGCTAAAATCTTGAGGACCAATAAAGAGCAGCTAAGTGAAATTTATCCCTCAATTTTTCTTGTTTCTCAAAGTTTGCTCCTCTGGCAGAGGAAAAAGAAATTCTAGAGCCTGTAGATATCTATTTATAATATAAAATTAAGAATTTTAAGTCCAAAATTTTGGCATATTTCATACAACTTTTCAAATCTGATTAGAATAATGATTCAAAAAACCTGTTAATAGAGAGACTATTAGGTTGCTGTGTTAACTGTTTAAAAAGGAGCAAGTGACACTTAAAATGCAGCTTAGAATGCTATGAGATGTATAATATTCAATTCAGTTGTTTTTATTTTGTTTAGTTGCAGAGCAACTGTATATATTGTATAACCTAAAATCAACTCTTATTTTCAATGTCCTGGATGCAGTGATTTATAATTAGAGCATGATTAAGAAATTTTACTCTTGTTAACCAGTCAAATGTCTGGAAAAATAAAACTACTTTTAAAATCACATTGGCTACTTCTCTTCTGTTACTCTGCTTTGCTTAGACAATATTCTTGTTTTCAATGTGTAAAATGAGAAATACAAACAAGTAGCATTTAAGCAAAAAAATGTACACCTTGTGGATTTTTAGTTTATTTTCAGGTAAAAACTGTGCAGATGGCACACCTAAGGTTAAATTAGAGGTGTAAAGCACAAAATGACTGTTACCACTTTGCTCTTGTTCTATTCTGATACATAGGCTAAGCAGAACTGAAGTTTATTTTAACAAATTGTTTTTCAGACAAAGAGAGAGAAGCAAGTGTCAGTTTTATTTTACATTTCTACAATATGGACATTAATATACAAAACATGATTTAGGAAAAAAAAATCATGTTAAATATAAAATTCTGTATTGTCCTGGAAACTGAAGATGGAAAACTGTCTTCAAGTCATGTTTGGGGAATGACAAAGTACCATGTGCAAGGTTGCATGGCTCTTCTCTGCACAGCAGGTCCTTTCTAGGTTTGTGTGTAGCTACAGCCAGGCTGTGGCATCACCAAGGAGCCCCATTTCCTCTCCACACAAAGGCTTCTTGTACTACACAGTCATGTGCTGCTGAAGAAAATCAGGACTTCTCCGACATTAAAACTGAATCAAAGGCTGTAGATAACACTTTGCAAATAGCTTGTGCTTGTTCCTAAAAAAGCCCCAAACATGCACATTAACACTTTCTGAAGAACTTCTAAATGTCTCAAAACCCATTTAAAGCAGAATGCGACCTTTATCATTCTTTTGGCAGACGTGCATAATGGAGTGGCACAAGTGAGATTTAATTTGATTTCTGTGGTCTGCAATGACACATGGGAAGCTGTTTTAAATGAGCTCTCTTGAAACAAATCAGAGTTGTTAGCTCACATCATGGCATGACACTAGTATTCAGAAAGTCAGTTCATGTGTCCCCCCAGTGCTGCTAAGAGTGTGTGTCATATCACAGTATCCTGACACTGAATTCTCCTACTCTTAAGAAGGGATCACTTCCCTGGCTTATAAACAGGAATGCCTGCTCTATTCCCAGAATCGTTACTCAATCCCTCCCTTCTCTGTCCAATCTTAAGTGGTTTTTGTCTTCAAAAATACAAATAGTGAATTGTCCCCAGCAGCTACAGTGGCACTCTAGATTGTAAAAAGCTTTCTCAGACATGTACATTCACTGGCAATTTTAGGGAATGTAGGTGTTTTTCCTCAAAGCTGATCAAATGCAGTCAGCAGGGCTTTTCTGCCCTCCTCAGCCAGGGCAAATTTATACTTTTTTTTTTTTTTTTATGCCAAAAAGCTTTCACAAGGCATTCAAGAATCTGCCTTTACAATCCAAATACTGATAGCTGGATTAAACACTGTAAACATAAACTCTTACCGAACTATTGCACTGATATACCCAAAGGCTGCATTCTTCAGAGGCTGCATCTGTTGTCTTCAAAGCCAGTAAACTTTTTCCTGCTCCCAGACCATCATCATAGCAGACCATCCGTACAATTAAATAGAGGGCATGCCTGTGTAACACATCCTGAAACCATGTGGCAAACAAAAGTTACTCTAGAACACTGCAACAGCTATTTCAGTTTTCCACCTATTTTGATACTCTCGCTTAGGAAAGAATACTTCAGATTTATTTACAGGAAAAAAAATATTCCTTGACAAAATTACAGAGAATTTAGTCAAGATTTTTAAAAAATAAGTGGTGGTTTAACACAAATTTAGCTTCAATTTTTGCTTCTATTTCAGAATTTCATTCATATGTGGACTACATTCCTGGCCATACTACGAAAGCACACATTTGTTTTCCACCTATCCCCACTCGCCCTCTGTGTGTAGGACAGGTGGCACACGCCGTACCTCTGGCACAGAGGTAACTTAAAAACAGTTTTTACTTTTCCAGTATTTTTTCAGACCTCTGTCTCAGTTCTGGGAACAGTACATGAAATGCTGTTCCTGGAAGAGGGTATGGACAAGGTTACTTGCTTTGGGGGGCAGGGAGGGTAGCTACTTGGGGCCTGAGCCATAGCATGGGACCCAGCTCTTGCAGAGATCAAGTCTGGGAGCCTTCTCTCCACCACAGCAGCAGGGTTTCACTGCAGTCCCAACAGTTCTAACCTTGGCCATTCCAAAAAGGGACTGGTCCATGTTGTCCAGTAGAAGGCCCCTGCAGACCATCCCTACACAAAGCCTTTCTTCTCAAGGCATCCTACCCAACTGCTAATACTCATCTGATTCATTCCAGCAATACCACCTCTAGGGTCTCAGGACTTCAAGACAGCTCTTTTTCTATGTTCATGGCATCAAACACCTTCTCCCCATCAGTAGCTGAAGGGTCTAAAGAAATATCTACTTTGATACAAAAGCTGTACAATGGACAGTGAGCTTAATGCCAGCTATGAAACCCTCAAGGGAGAGCCCTCTACCAGAGCTCCTAAGATCCTCTTGCAGAACATCTCCATCCCTGACCTCCGCTCACAATTATTCGTACCATCACCACCTGTTGTACCACGCCAAAGGCAGCTGGAGCTGATATGGAACTTACTGAATCAACCCTCCTGTCTCTGTATGAAAGTTGCCAAGGTTTCCCTCCACATCACTTGTAACTTTTTAGTTACTTGCTTGGAACTTGCTACAGTGCTAATGTGCATGTGGATTATCACTAAAAGAGGGAGGACAGAATTCTTTAAAGTAGACTGTCCCCCTGTCAATTAATTTCCTCCCCTCCTTCCAGTATTTGGCTATGAGGGGGATTCTGCAGGTGAGAGAGAAATGAGATCATGGATGGACAAACTCTGCCATACGTGTGTGTACATATAAATAATGTACAAATACAGGCAAACAGAGTGTGAACAGAATGAGACCAAAGCCTATGTGACTTCTGGAAATACTTTGCCTTTGGTTTCTAGTGGTTGCATCCACAAACAATGGAAATGTATCAGTGAATTACATAGCTATATGTATTTCAGTTACTAACGGAATAATTTCTCAAATGTTGGCTGAAATCTGTGCGGAGAAATTTTGTATCCTGCAGTCTCTTTTTGGCATCTCAAATAGCTGCCTATTCACCTGCAAAGGTATCTACAAATCACAGAACTCTCAACTTTCCCCCAGAGTCATAAAAGACTGAATTCTTTGTACAAATGCAGAGAAAACTTTCCATCTTGGAACTCTATGAAAACAGTTAGATGAACTAACACACTAAAGGACAGATTAAATGTCAACAGTGATAGAGATGCAAAAAGCCAGAATTTGGGATACAATGCAATGCAATGAAAAAACAGTGCAAGCTAGCTTAATCACAGGAGGCTTCATCAGCTTGTGCATGCTTTCAGCTTGAAGACAGACAGGTAATTTTAAGACTTTTATCCATGTGATCTTTATCAAAATACAAAGGAATTTAAATAACAGCATAACTTAAGTTCTTACTGAGAATTAAGAATTTAGGAGGACAGCAAAAACAGAACCCCAAAGAATTCAAAGTTTGAGTAACAACTACTACAATATCCCCCAGGCATTAGAAACAAGTGTTTTATTTTCTGAAGGGGCCAAAGGAAACTTTCTGGCTCTCTTCAGAGTATTCGGCTATTGAGCAATGCTATTCACTGTCCTCATACTTGCTTTTAGTGAACAGGCATTGCTGGGTTGTTGGTGGGTCATGACTTCACAAGGCCAAGTATTTATGGTATCTGGGGGTCTGAGGGCAACCAGAAGGAAACCACAAGGCTGCAGTACAAAGGCAACTGGAGGGCCCTGGGGAACAGACCGGATTTTTATTTTTAGCAAAAAAGCTACTTTAAGTGTGCTGAAGGAAAATAAACTACATGTAGGAAATGATGCAAACAAAAAATAGGCTTGATCAATAAAGTGGAATCGTAAGGCTTTAATACTAGAATGAACTCACAGTCTTGGATTAGAATTGCAAGGCTGGAACTTTAAAGAGTAAGACAACTCAGTTATTCTTGAAAAAAGCATCCTTTGTTTTTTTTTTTTCTCTCCACAATAACATCAATAGGAATTACATTACTAACTCAGGCTGAGGAACCTGTGGTCTTGGCCACCACAGTTGTGCTACTTTTCCACATGAGAGAATGGCAGGACAGCCACAAAGAAGGGAAGATGTGCCCAAAGAACATAAAGGCTTACTTGCCTTCTGTCTGGTGCTCTAGCTCAAAAGGAATGGATTTTTGTCATAAACCCAACCAATCCAACCAGGAAAAGAGAACCCCAAGGAGATACAACATGAAGCAGTGCTGCTGTGAGGTGCTTGTTTGTTTGTTTTACTTTTGCTTAAAGCCAGAACTGACATTTTGGTCACACAGATCATCTGTCAAAGAAATACATGAAAGCACTTTTCAACTCTCACCATAAAGACAGTTTGTTGTGAATCACTTACATACTGATCAGATGTTGAAACTTTAATGCCGTATTTGGAAACTCCCATAATAAACTCCTCTTCACCTGGAACAAAAGGTAACTTTCCATCTTGCTTTGGAGGGAAACAAACAAAAGCCTTTAGTGCAGACAGAACGTGAACAATGAATATACATAATAGAAAATGTGCTTGTGTGTACTTCAGTCCACTGGATCAGCAACATCACTGCCCATCTCTGGCTGTGTGGAGTCTGCCTGCCACTCTTGCACTCGTCCAATCTGTTAACATTATGTGAAATATATTCAGGGGAGGTTTAGTCTGGACATCAGGAAACATTTCCTTACCAGAAGGGTTGTCAGACACTGGAACAGGCTTCCTAGGGAGGTGGTCGAGGCCCCAGGTCTGTCCTTAACAACATACTTTAATTTTTGGTGGTCCTTGAAGTGGTCAGGCAGTTGGACTAGATGATGGTTGTAGGTCCCTTACAACTGAAACAGTCTATTCCATTCTAAATATTACATAATTCCAGAAAGGAATTTATTATCTCAGGGGAGGTTGGCTCTGTGGTCAAATCGGATGGGCTTAAAAATAACGCATGCCCTGTCATGCTGCGCTGACCCTGGGTGATCACTGGCAGCAATTTTGTTATTTGTCTGTAAAAACAGATTTAGCCAATATTCAGATACTTTAAATGTCAAGTTACTGTAAGATAAACAGACATTCTGTGCTTGTAAAGATACAAACGATCAGCTACCTAATGAGAACAACCAGTTAAAGAAAAGTAAGTACCAGTAACCAGAGTTTGGCAAGGATGACCCAAATATTATTCAGATTCTTTGGTCACACATGTAAGCAGAAAGTTGACATTTTCCTCTACAGGAAAACTTCTACAGAACTGAGAAAATCTGAAGGAGATATTCTTTCCTGGATACTAGTCCTAACAGTGCTGAAGACATAAAAAACAATTCATTTGGGATACTTGTTCAGAAATGACTAATGAAAAGGGTCTGTGCTCTGAGCCTGCTTCTTCAGAGAGGCTTTTTGGGTGCATCTTCTCAAAAGGATGGAATTGAGTGTGACAGCCCTTGAGACTCATAGCTTAAGGTATGTTAAATTAAGCTATTTTATTCTAATAAGTCTAAAATTTACGAAGATGTCAGAGCACACGATAATATGAAAGAAATACACCTAGCTTAAAATGTTCTGATGCTGTTGGCATTGTCTTTTGTAATCCACTCACCTGTGCAACATCTATGTAATTTATCAAGTCCAATGGCCCTTCGAGACTTTTGCTCTCATTATATTTCAATTTTTCAATGGCACCAACATACTTAACTCTGAATTCTGCACAAGTATCAGAATTACTATTGCTTTGTCCTGCAACAAAATAAAACACAGCAATTCTGAAGAATTCCAGAACAGTAGTACTCTTTTAATTAGTGTTAATGGGACTAACTTACTAAATTCCCAAATTTCTGCAGAATTTCATCAAAGACTTAACCTTACCACAGGATAACTCCTCTCTTTAATGAACTGTCCTGGGTTGATTCAGAACAGCCCTTGGTAAAGGCAACAGTATCCATGATACAGCACTGTTTATACTAATTCAAGTTTGGAGTTAACAGCCTTGAATCAGAAAACATATAAAAGCTGGTTGTGCTTTTCTATATATGTTCGTTTTAAATGGACTGTTTGGTCCAGCAGTGATGTGGTGTAATCTGGTGAGCAAGAACAAGTAAAATTTAATCCTATTTCCATTATTTCAGTGCAATTGTAAACTTATAAAAGTAGGAAACATAGCTTCCAAAAAGTTATACCAGATTTATGCTGTGTAACACACTGGTAACAGAACTAAGTTTCTCTTAGACACTTTCATTTGAAAAGTGACTTAATCCTAGATCAATCATTAATGATACCTTAGAAGCCTAGAGCTATGCATGCATTAGTAAACAGGCTAAGAGATTCACTCACAATTATTAAAAATACATATTTTAACCTTTTCTATTTTCTGCTCTTTTATAGGAACACACATAAAGTTAATCCTGCTCCATACATGTCTGCTCAAACTCTGACTACATACCTGAACTTTTCGTGGAGTCTGTATCTAGACTAGCCACAGTACTAGACCTGGAAAGTCCCCCAAGACTGGAATCTACAGACTAAGAAAAAAAATAGTATAATCAGAAAGTTACTGAGAACATATTAACAATTCACTTTTAGATGACTTGCCTCAACTCTTTTTTTAAAAGTGTTTACATTCTAATTTGTTGAGCAGCACTGCAAAACATGGAGAAAAAACCACCACCACCGATTCTTTTCCTGAAGCTATCTTTCTGCCTCAGTGTAGATATAAATTCAGCAGGAGCCCTTGAGAAGTCCACAAATACTTTGAAATAAGGAGGAAGTAAAAGAAAAAGAGAAAATGAACCTTAAGGTTATGTCCAGACTTTTCTGGTACTGCATCTTAACTTGAAGAAATTGACAACTACATGCTTGTCACCAATGCTTGAAATAACATAGCAGTGCAAGGGAAGTGAAACGGCACCTTGGAAAATCCAGAATATTCAACTGATCATTCCAATACCTATCAGACAAAATGGACACATTATTCAAAGTGAAGAATACTTTTGAGAGATACTGAGTAACCAACTAGTACTGAAGAATAAACTCATTCTTGGTACCTAGCACCAGGCACCTTCTTAAAGACAATATTGATCGCTACAGAATACTCCTTTTTCCTCCAAACCTTACTGTGTGCTGCCAGAAACTCTTGTGTTTGTGTGCTTCACTATGGAAGCAATCAAGCATTCATCTTGCAGTACAAGGGCTTTATAACGGATGAGATTTTTTTAACTCTCATAACACAATCTGAGGAATAGGAGGAGGAGAAATTTCTCCTTGTGGAACATGGCATTTTATGGAAATCACATCCTACCATCAGTGCAAGCAAATAAACGAAAGTGCTTTCATAAACCGAGTATGTACCAAACTCAGCTTACCTTGCTTTTAGTACTAATTTCACTGCTTTGTGAACTGCTGCTGCTGTGTCGTTTTTTCCCTTTTCTAAACATTTTCTCATAATTGGATCAAGGAAGATCTTCTAGGTAGGAAAACATAAATATTAAAGCTGTCATAGGAAGGGAAGGAGTTCCTGGCAAACACCAGTGACTTGTTTCCAAAATGGACAAAACCGAGAAACTTGTAAAAGACTCTGAGAATGGAAGTAGTAACGTTCCTCTGGTGTTATTCACCTGTGACTTGGGAAAGTCCCTCAAGCTGTCTGCTAAAACTTCCCTATCCTTCCAATTCATAAAAAAAATGCTGCTACCCAGTTTACAGACTGTTGCAAAGGTCAGTTTCTAATGCATATATAGAAATTTAGAAACAAAATTTAGAATTTATATTCCCACTTAAAAGCATTATTTTTATTTCAAAATGCCCTACAAAGTACATCCAATGCAATCCCTGCTTCAAAGATTATTCTCCTGTTAAAAAATAAAAACCCAAACAAACAAACAACTCTACTTCTGAAGAACTACTGATTGCAGTACTTCTAGAAGCAGCCATTACTACTTAATGTAATGTTCCTGAAAATTAAAGCAAGAAACCTGTTACTTTTACTGCCTTAGAACTGAGTTACTGGGAGTTCTGAGAGTATTCCAGAAGCATTTTTCTTGTATCTCTCCTACTACTTCAGACACTTCATTAACATTTGGCTGGCCAGTGTCAAGAAGCAGGATGCTGGCTCCCAGTCATGGAGTGCTGAAACCCTATTTCCCAGCTTCAGAATATTTTAATTTCAAAGCTTCAGAAATTTTGAGCAGGTGGAAGAAAATGGACAGAGGAGGAAGACAGCCTACTTGAAGACACCTCACTCTGCAGAAAATAATGGAAGATGCACGAGGAACTCAGATCCGAGATGCAGGCTGATTACAGTCCCCAGACTGCTGCTGTGTTTGTCATCACGCAAACACTTGGTCCTTGGCAGACCAAACGCCACCCTCAGCGACAAGTGCTGCAGCAAGGCATCGTGGTCCCTCGGGGCTGCCGCCAGCCACCAGCACGGATCCAGCAGCCCCTCCTTCGGGGCAGCAGCTGCTAGAACACCGGCAGATTTGCTGATTCTGCCGGTAGACTCCGAGGAAGGCACAGCTTAACGCGCACTACTACTTCACGAGCTTTTTTAATACGTGAGATGATGAAGGAGCTGGTAGCAGCTCCTGACAGCACACGCACTTTCTGCGGCGCATTTTCTCCACTACGGATGCAGGAAGCATCGAGTCCCGCCTCAGAGCCCGGGTTCTGCGGCGGGGCGAGGCCCGGAGAAGCCAGGCAGGCTACCACCGCACCCCGCCACGGGCTGTTCTCCTTCCTGTCTTTACCTCCGGCCCCAGACGATAACCCGACAAACGGCAGAACGGCGAACCCGCTTCCCTCAGAAAGGCGGGGGGTGGGAGGCGAGGCAGGCGCGCGGGCCCTGTCAGACAGCCAGCGGCGCTGGGACTGCCCCCGCCTCCCGGGCACGCTCCGCGCCAACGCCG